CAGCGCTGTTGAAGCTGATAACCTTCAAGCTGCTTCCGTCAACAAATGGATAGATGAGATCCTCTATAAACTACACCACCTAGATGGGCCAAACAGCCTCCTCGCATTGGCAAACTTTTCTCATGCTTCAAATCGATTGCAGTCATCAGTTTTTGCACTCCGCCATGACTAATCCTACACGGATTTAAATTTGAGTAATATTATAGAGCCTCTCTTTCGGAGAGAGCTGTTAGCACGATCCACAACGGCAGGACAAATGGTGTTGCCACCTCTGGTTGTACATTGTGTGCAAAACTCTCTCTTGTACTGAGCAATTAGAAACACTTCACTTAAAATGTGATAATGCATCACCACGAAAGCCTTCTACTACAGATAACATTTAAGCCACAAATACATTCTTCCTTACAATAATATTAAACCTCTCCCCTGTCATCTTGCAGTCTGCCATGAAGAACATTCAGCCTGCTGCATTTCTTTAAAAACGGCAACGAGCATAATGAGAAACTTACACTGCGTTTGTGTTTCAATTTTAAGCAAAGTTCAATACAGAAGATTATGTCAAGCACAGCAATTTCTAAACAAAAGTTTTGATAGTAATCCACTAGTTTGGGTCTGTGATCAATTGCTAAAATGACACCTAGGATATAACGTATGTTTATTATATATTATTACCTTGAGTTTCACTGTGCAGAAAAAAAAATATTTGTTTATATAAAGCCAAAAGTAGTACTTGAACCTCTTCCACTTTAGAGAACAAGCCTCAAAGGTGAGTCACTAGAGACACCTGGAATGACCTGTGTTTACAGCAGCACTGAGCTCTGAGTGTCAAGACCTTTCGCATGCAACGAATGTAAGTGAAAAGCAGGGTTCATCATAAGGCTGTCGTTGGCACGCTCAGAACAGCGGCAATTCAGGGCACAAAGCACCGTTTCTAGTACGAAGATATTTTCCTTACAGTTCTGAGACTTAACACGAGTGCAAGTGATTCAGTTCCATCCATATTCTCCAGCTGACACACGCCTGGGCACACAGCTTCAAGGTGAAAGAAAAAGAGCAATTGACGTTTTGAGAATGCGTGCAGCACAGAGGGCAACAGGGCTAAATTGTGAACCCTCCAGCTTCAAACTTGGCCATTGCCTTTAAGGATATTAAAAATTCCCAGAAGTACTGACAAAACAAATCCTAGGGACTTCTTCAGGATAAGCAGTGAATCATGAAAGAGAAGGTGCAGGTTGAAACTGTAGGGGAGTGCATTTCAACATGAGAAAATGAGGCAGATCTCCACAAGGCGTCCTATCGACCCAGCTGTGTGAACACTGATACCCAGGCGTCTTTCAAGAAGTGGCTGGATGAGATCCAAACATCCATTATCTACCAGTTCCCAAAAGGCCTGAATGCCTCTATGTGAAGGGGGTTTCTGAAATACTCGAATAGTGATTTGTTCAGCAGAAACATGTTCTAATAATATTAGGGGAACTCGGGGACTTTTTTAAAAAAGATATTTGAGAAAAGGTAGGCTGAACAAATATTTTAAGTTTCACTGCAAATTATCCAACTGATTTCAGGACCACTTAGTCCTTTGGACTGTGGCTGCCTCTTCTTTTTACAACCACTTGTAAAAAATACAAATAAGTAGGATAAGTCATAAGTGCAGCACATTGCTCTACCTCCTCCTTATATCTCCCTCATCTCTGGTCCAAAAAAAACTCTTGGTCTGCATTCACCTTTTTAAGGGTACTTTTTCCAGACAATATCCAATAAGATCAGGAAAACATGTGGACCTCGATAAAGAAAAGCTTTCGAGACGGTACCTTTCCGTACTTTCATAAAAAAAGGACACGAAGCGACGCGCTCCTCCTCCTACTTTAAATAAACGTCGCACCTCGCGGTCCGGCTCTGCAGCGGCGGCGCCCCCCTTACAGGTGCCCGCCGGCGTGGCCCGCGGCGTCCGCGCCCTCG